GAGCTATCGTGAAAGACAGAGGAACCTTCAATGCACATCACCAAGAGGAAGAGGCCAATCAGAAAAGGCTGTGTAGGGGCTGGGGATTTAGCTCAGTGGCATAGCGCCTGCCTGGCAAGCGCAATGTTGTGAGTTCGATTCCCGGTACTGGAAAAAAAATTTTAAAAAAAAGAAAAAGCTGTGTACTAAGTGATTCCTACCAGACGATATTCTGGGAAAATAGTAAAACTACAGAGAGCAAGGGTTGCGGGAGGGAGGAGTGAACAGGTGGAGCACAGAGGGTTTTTAGGGCAGTGAAAGTGTTCTGTCCGACACTGTCATGGTGTATCCACGTCATGATACATCCGTCCACACCCATAGAATGTACAACACCCAAAGTGAACTCTAATATAAACAAGTGGATTTGAGGAGTCAGGAGTAGTCATGTGGAGGTGCAGGTCCATCAGCGATAATAAATGTACTACTCTGGTATGAGATTTTGATTGTGGGGGTGCTATATGTCTAGGGAGGCGTGAGGGGTATATGGCAACTCTGTACTTCAGCTCAATTTTGCTGTGAACCTAAACTTCTCTAAAATATAAGGTCCATTAAAAAAAAAATCAGTGGTGCGAAATAAAGCCTAAATGTTAACAGTAATTGCTCCAAGTGATGAGGTCAGGGGCAGCTTTTTCTGCACTCCCCGTATTTTCTCCTTGACTTCAGACCCGTGCTTGTGCATTTGCTCTGCCTGGAACCTCTCCCTTCCCCCACTCCAACAAGGAGTATTTATTTATCTACTTATCCCTTCACAGTACTGGCGCTCCACATGTCACGTGGGTTCCAGCCTTTCAACTGCCCCAGGGCCTCCGTCTCCCGCTTCTTGCAGGAGAGGCTTCACAAGAAGACTATTTCATTCTTTTTTGTTTTTTTTTTTTTTTTGGTTTTTCTCCGGTACCGGGAACCGAACTCACGACCTTGCGCTTGCCAGGCAGGCGCTTTGCCGCTGAGCTAAATCCCCTGCCCCCGACTATTTCATTCTTTTTGTATCCCCAACACCTAGCGCAGCGCCCAGCACAGTCATTCCATGAATATTGTTGGGGATGAGAGTATGAATTATGTTGATGAATCAAGACAAATGGACAGACAAATAAATACAAAACCTGAAAGAGGTGAAAGACCTAAGTCCTAAAATGGTGGTGGGGAATGGCCGCTCCAGAGCTGCGGTGGTGTCGGAAGTAACTCAGGAGACAGGAGGCGGTGATGAAAGACGGGGCCGAGCTGCTCACTGGGCAGTGACTATAAAGCGGTACGGCGGAATTCAAGGTTGGACAAGGCCAAATTAATTTCCGTGACATGTTCCCATGACTGGTGTGATGCAAGCATGCAGGTTGGCAGTAACACACCATCATGGTAAGAGGACGTTGGACTGTGCTATAAGTAACTAGGGTCTTCTTTTTTCATTTTTATGTTTTTGTGACAGGTTCTGACCCTGCTAAGGCAGGGTCAGGGTCTCCTGCCTCAGCCCTCCCAGTGCTGGGATTACAGGTGTGTGCCGCCACACCTTCGACTAGGGTCTTCTACCAGGCTAGCAACACTCACACTTGTGCCAGAACCAATCACTAACAACCTGCCAATACTGCTGCAAACACTGCCCTAAGAACTTCCTGTTGGGGACTTCCACTGGGTATGTTTCTGCTTGTGTGTTTGTTGTGGCTGAGCTGGAGAAAGTGCTGTCAAGCTATCACAGCATAGCCTTGCACGTCTGCACCTCATCCATTCCATCCCACCCATAGTTTATCCTTTCCACTACTACATATCCCACATTTCTGGGAAAACAATACTGCTCAAAAGTGGGGAGGGGAAGAAGAAAAGGAACAGAACAAACAACTGAACAAAGACCTCCTCGGCTTTTCCTATTAGAAATCTGCAGCCCGGGGAGTAGAACCCAGAGGCAGATCTGCCCGTCTGTGTCCTTGCCCCTCTCCCACAAGTTCAGAAACCCCTTCAAGTCCTCCTAATCCTCAAGCAACGCTCAGACATTTGAAGAGCTTCTGGGGGCCCCTGGAAAACTCTCATATTCTGTTTGTAAGCAGGGCCAGGATCATCCTGGTGTCAGTGTTTGCCTCTCTTCTAGGCCCTGGTGCTGCTTGCACAAAGCTCTGGATCTCATTTCAAGAATTCGTCTGCTCCAATTTTGTCTCCTACCCTAGGTCTCGACCCTTAGTGGAATTATAATTAGTTGCCCTAGGGATCCTGGAGCAGACTCATTTCAGAGGAAAATGCCTTCTGCTAGGCTGTGCCAATCTCGCCTGTAGTTAGCATCTATGAATTTCAAGTCTGTGAACTGCCTCTGCTAACGGGGCCCAGAGAAATCTGTCTTTTATGATGGCCCATATTTGCTGTACTTTAGACAGGTCTCTCCATAATTCTGAAATTGTTCCTCCCAAATCTCATTTTTAAAACAATCACTGCTGAGTAAGTTTTCTTCCAAAGCTGCCTTGAGAATTCCTTCTTGGAACAAGAATAATGATTGTTTTTCCAAAAAGTGAAGGTTGCAAAATCTGGGGTGGTAATGTGCAGGGCTGAGGGGTGTTGGGTTAAGAGTTCTCTGGGCTGCAGGCATACTTTGTGAAGGAAAAGGCATCAGGCAGCGGCCTCAGTTCTCACTGTCGTCTGTGAAATAGGACAGTGTTTGGTCTCGATTGACTAGGGTGTGAGGACGGCACTGTTCCGTGCTAGCATTTTTGCTGTCTGGAGAAAGAGATGCCCTTAGAGAATGCCATTTTAGAACACTGACCTTTCCTTTGTCAAGACTGACACATTCTTTTTTTGGGATGGGTTGTGTGGTCTTTACCACTGAAGTATTGAGGAAATTGGAAGGATAGTGATCCAAATTATTAGCTCAGACTGGCTACTTTTGATAATGAACTCTCCTTTAGCAAGAGGTTTGCTCTTCAGTACAGTGGGAAGGTCAATTTTTGAGCAGTGTCCTTAGGAACAGGAAGGTCAATTTTTGAGCAGTCTTTGAGCCTCTAGAAGGTAGAGGCTACTCTAGAAGTAGCTGTGCTGCTGCCCAAGCTGCTGCTGTCATCCTGCTGGATACTTAATCAGTGCCCTTAGGAACAGGAAGGAGTAATTCCAAGAAGGAATTCTCAAGCAATCCTGTTGGGATACTTAACCAGCTTTGGTAGGGAGAGATAGGGCTGCACCTGAGTCCAATAACTGGGTTCTTGTGCCTCTCCTTGTAACCAGCCACCTGTGAGCTCTTGTTCTCTGCCTCAGTCCTTGGGTTTTTCTATCTGTAAAAGAGGCAGGTTGAGCTCATCTGTGGTTTTCCCACATTTTTAGGCAGTAGAGCATCTCCTAGTGATTCAGGAAACAACTATGCAGGGCAGCAGAGGCTTGTGAAGCCACCTGTGCCCATGAGGTCCACACCCCAACCTCGGCTGCTCTGAGGATCCTGAAATTCTTTTTGAACTGAACAAGGAGAAGTACATGTTTCTTATCTGGCTGAATTTTAAGTCTTCAGAAACAATGTCCTGGGCCCCATGATGCTCAAAGCAAGGTCCACTTATGGCAACTCATGTTCCAGCAAAACAGCTTACAGAATACCCAGCCTGAAATGCAAAGATGTCGCCACAGCAATTTCCAAGCCTTCCACAGCCATATTGGCTTTGCTCGCTGAAGAGGGCCTTGTTGCTGGTAATGGTGTGTATCTCACGCACACACGCACACACACACACACACACACACACACACACACAGAGGCCTCGCGCTAAGGTCTGTAAGTAAGAGTGTTGTATTCAAATGGTGTGGGTAGCTGTGCTGCTGCCCAAGCTGCTGCTGTCATCCTGCTGGATACTTAATCAGCTGCGGAGGGGAGGAACAGGGCTGTACTAGCGCCCGGACACAGGGTCACTGTCCCTCCATTGGAACTAGCTAGCTATGTGTTCTTAACTACCGCCTGTTCATCATCCCAGGCCTCAGGTTTCCTGTGGGACAGCACCTACCGGCCCTCTGGCTACTGCTTATTAGAGCCCTGGGGAGGCGCTGAGCAGATGAAGGGGCAGCTCTCAGTCTGCTGCATCTGGTGAAAGCTTTCAGGCTAGGACTGAGCTGGAAGCCGCTGGCTGAATGATGATTTTTCCCCTTTCAGATTTCATCTTTAGACCAAGTCTGTGTCCCTTAAACCCAAGACCGAGAGTATTTCTCAGGATGACACTCACAGCGAAGGGGCTCTGCATGTGATGAAGATCACATGCGTGGGGCCAGACAGACAGGCTCGTCACCTTGTTTCCTTCTAAGAGCTATGTGGCTCATGGTAGGGCACTCAAACTTTCTGGGCCTCAGTTTTCTCATCTGTGAAATGAGATGGCAAATATTGTAAGTGGGCTCGATAACTTCTATCTCACTTCTCGTTTTCCAGTTCCTACTTGAGAGACCAAAATACAAAACATTCACATTCTTAGCCACCTGTGCAGACAGGTTGACCAGATGGCAGAGTCTGGGCCGAAGGTCTCTGGAGGAGATGATACTGAACAAGAAGCAAAGCCTCACAGGAGGGGGCTGTGTAGCGCTTGCTGAAAGGTGTACCTTCTAGAGGCTCAACAGCCATTTTCTGACCATGAGGATGAAGAAGCAGAGAGGAAAAAAAGCTTGGTTCTTTTATAACAGCCTAAAACAACAAGTTGTGCTAGGCCTGGATCATTTGTTATGTGACAGATAGAAAGACAGAGAGATATATAGACAGAGGAAAGTGAGCAAATCCTTTACTTGTTTGATCCACCGTTTATCAAGCTTCTGTTCCTTGTGTATAATGCATTTCTAAATTGATGCAAAGGGGATAAAAATAGGACCCATTTGATGGTTGCTGTGGGTACTAAATGAGATAATGTGTGCACGGCCAAGTCTACAGCCTGGCTTGTAGCAAGCAGTCCACGAACTGAGGTTGCTACAGAAGGGGAAATGTGCCGTCTCTCAGGGAGTGTGGGAAGCAGGAGGCTGGGAGGGGCTGACCCTACCTCGATCGCTGAAGTCGTCGACCAACACAATCTCTGCCACCAGCTCTGGGGGAGAGCGGTTCAGCACGCTGTGGACGGTGCGGAGGAGGGAGGACCAGCCCTCATTGTGGAAGGGGATGATGATGCTGGTGTTGGGCAGGGTCTCCAGGTAGCGTTTGCTGTTGCAGCTGGAGGGACACAAATGGGAGTGAGAGGACAGGGTCAGGTTAACTGCAAATACCACCTCCTCGCCACCCTGTGGGACACTGGTGAGAGCTGGGGGCAACCCTGGTCCCCAGTGAACTTTCTGCTCCCTGGCACCCAATGTCCTGCCTCCAATCCCTGCACAGGAAGCAAAGGGGGATCAGAAGAAAGACTCCGGCTTGGTATGAGGTCATGATTCCACACAGAGCAGAGAGCTTCAGTGACACTCTGCCCTCTCTTTCTACCTGTGATTTAGAATAAAAATATGTCTATTTTGGCCTGTGTCCCTAATTCCTGGTGCAGAGCTTATAAAACCCTTGTAATTTCTTGAGCCATACAGGTGATAGGAGGATCTTCTGTTTTAAGTTCATTTTCTTTGAGCCTGGTTCCTAACACAGGGGCCCTAACTCCCTTGGAATTTCCTGGGGGTGAGAGCATCTTTTGTTCTAATGAGGCTGACCCTTGATAAGTTCGAAGAGCGGGCTGGTAGGAGAGAGGCAACACCATGATTAGAAACTTGGAACTCTGAGTCCCACTTCCCAGCCTCCGGCAAAGGGAGAGAAGCAGGGACTGGGCTAGACACGGGATGAAAGGGTGTGATGGGCCTTCCCTAAACTCATGAACCAGTGGGTTTGGAGCTCTGCGGGGCTGGTGGCCACACGAAGGTGCTGGGGAGGCAGTGTGTCCACAGAAGCGATGGTAGTTCCGTGTCCCTTCCCATGTAGCTTGCTCTAGATGCTTGTCATCTGGCTGTTCTCTCTCCTTGGTAGTAACATCCTTTGTAATAAACTGGAAAGAGCTAGCATTTCTGCAAGTTCCGAGAGGAGCTCTAGCAAATTAACCCCCAGGAGCCTGTAGTGGGAAGCTCTAGTTTACAGCCGGTTGGTCCAAAGTATTGGAGGCCTGGGTCTGTGCTCACTACGAGGTGAGGCAGTCTTGAAGGACTGGGTCTTCAGCATGTGGAATCTGACTCTTACTTGTGGTAGACAATGTCAGAATTGGTTTGAATTCTAGCACATGCAGCTAGTGTCAGAGAATCGCTTGTTGGTGGGGAAAAAAGCCCACATATTTGGTCACAGAAATATTCTGTGTTGAGACTGTAATAGAAAAAAATCCAGTTTTTTCCTATTATACATCACTCCTTGCACATTTTTCTCCAGTGGAGGAAAAATGATTCACCCAAGTGTTTAGAAGAATAAAGTGGGCTTTGCTTCTCTGCTCTCCTTCCTGGGTTCTGTTCTCCGCAAGCCACATGGGAAGATTGGGAGTGGAAGGCCCTGCCCCTGTGGGCATTCAAAATCCTCAAACTCTCAGAGAAATCAACATCATTCTTTAATGTCACCATCAGCTAGTTCACGTTCAATTTCCTTGGTCTTATGTCCTTTTAGAGTTGGTTTGTTTAAATCAGAACAAAGTCTACATTACTGCATTTAATTGATATATCTCCTACCTCTCATGTAGAAGTTGCCGGCTTGTTCCTTAGAATTTGTTTGCTTTAGAAACTGGGCCATTTGTCCTACAGAGTCTCCCACAGTCTGTACTTTCCATCTCTGTAAAGTCATTTAACATACACTTTGGAGCCCTAGCTGTAAAGTGGTAGTTGGATGTACAGGCTTGAACTAATTCAGTCAGATACTCTGGCAATGTCTTCTCCGCAGGTGGTGTGTGCATCCCTTAGGAGACATGGAAGGTCCACTGTGGGTTCCTCGGGATTGTCTGTGTACACGTAGAGATACACATACACATACAGATATACAGCACATAAAACATACATTGTCGTCGACAGGTGTTTTCTTCTTTCTTTCCAATCTAGATGCTTTTTACTTTTTTTCTCATCTAATTATCTTGGGGACTCCATTCCAATGCTTTACAGAAGTGGCAGGAGCAGACATCTTTGTCTTATTCCTGATCTTACAGGAAAATATTTTTATTCTTTCACCATTATAAATGTTTGTGTGGTTTTCCACAGATGCCCTTTGTCAGATTGAGGATCTTTCTTTTTTTTGGTACCGGGAATCAAACTCAGGACCTTGCACTTGCCAGGCAGGTGCTTATGCCACTGAGCTACATCCCTGGCCCCTGAGGATCTTTTTTATATTCCTAGTTTACTGAGTGTTTCTTTCCTGAAAAAGTATTGGATTTTATCAAATCCTTTTTTTTCTTTGCATCTGCCAAGACAATCAAGGGGTCTGGATCCTTTATTTTATTTATATGTTACATGACATTGATTTCTTTTCGTATGTTGAACAAACTTTGCACTCTTGATATATCCTACTTAGCCATGGTATATAAACTTATACATTGCTGCATTTGGGTTGCTAGTATTTTGCTGAGGATTTTTGTACCTGTATTCATTAGAAATTCTGGTCTATATAATTTTCTTGTGATGTTTTTGTCTGGTCTTGTGTATTATATTTACTTTGCTAAAACTCTAGGTTACTTATTTGCCTTTTCCTACAATATGTAATAGTTTCATGAAAGCAATGCCAATATTATTGGTACACTATTATTACAGATTTTTAAAAACCTGCATAGTAAATTTTATTATGGATGTTGTCCTCGTTACTTTTCTCTCATTGCTGGGATAAAATACCTGACATCCAGAATTAAAGAAGGAAATGTTTATTTAGCTTAGTCTGTGGAGGTTTCAGTCCATACTCGGCTGGCTCCAAGGCAGAGTGGCACATGGCAGAGGGCAACAATTCACGGTGGCAGAAAATAGCAAAAGCAACAAGAGCAAAAGCGAGGAACACTGCCAAGCAGCCTGTTTCCCTCCCTTACATTGTATGCAAACTATCCGCCCCAGGGCAGGTGTAGCACTCACACCCATACTCCCAGCACTGCACCATGAATCAATCACAGACTCTAGAAGCCTGCCCTGTGATTGCATGAGGCTTTGAGGGCACATCTAGACAGAAACCACAACAGATGTATAGTCAAATTTTATGTTTTGAAGCTACTTGAATAATTCTTCTCTACATAGTTCTTAATACACAGTTGGGTTCATTTATTTCATCTACCTTTTCATTTTCAGGGCTTCAGTTTTACTGTTGAATTCTGATCGAATCTTATTATAATTATACAAAGTATTTGCATGGTTCCAAAGTTCAATCTAAAAAGAAGATGATTCAAAGATTTTTGGCTTTTACTCCATCTCCATCTAGTTTTCTCCCTTCTTTTAGAACGTGTTTTATTTTGTGGTCAGTCCTTGCATTGTTTTCTTCACTTCTTCAGTAGAAGTAAGTACATATACAAATTGCTATGCCCTTGATCTTTTCTTGAATACATGGTAGCAAATTCTATACTTTTCTTCACCTTAGCTTTTCAACTTAGCAATACATCCTAGAAATTGTGCCATAAATTGTGCACTTTTTTTTTTTTTTTTTGCTTTTTTATTTCTTAAAGAAGTAAGTAAGTTCAATTCAGGGAACCATAAGCAAGTCCATTTGGTCACACCAAGGCCATTTTACACCAAGAAAGCTTATTTATTTGCTTTATTGGAAGTTTTAAGAGGGAAGCAACTTACTGAGCTAAAGCAGTGATTCTAAAAGGGCAGTCCTACCTGGACCAGAGGCTGAACATCGCTGGGGAGTTGGTCAGAATACAAATTTTCTGGCTGGCCAGACAGCTTGAATCAGTCTCTCAGGGTGGGCCAGCAATGGGTCTTTTAACAAGCCTTCTGGGTGATTCCGGTGCCTGCTCAAGTTGGAGAATCACTGCCCTCAAATATTCACATTCCCAAGGGGAAGAATGGGTTCCCTGGGCCCAGAGCACGAGGTGAAAACTGTGCAGATGGTTTCCTGGGGAGTGCTCTGGGCAGACGCAGCTGTAGGCAAGTGAGCCAGGCGGGTAAGGAAGGACAAGCCCACCCCGTGCGCTGCACGGAGATCTCAGTCCACTTTATCAGGTGCTCTGGAGATGAGCCGGCCTTTCCAAGTTGTCCTAGATTGAACAAAGGCCTGGCCTTTCTATCCAAGCATCTTAAGCAAGGCAGCTCCCAACTACCAAGGGCAATTCCCAGAGAGAAAAAGGTTGGAAGCTGCCTCTGCTCCTAGACTCCCAATAGCCTGAGGATAGGGGGATCCGAAGAGAGGAAACAGGCAGAGTGCTTCCCTATTCACTACCACATGGACAGCAAGCTACACTACACAGAAGGCACTAGGAAGTCCCCATTTCAAACCTGACAAACCAAGGCATAAAGAAGCTGTACAAACGTATCCAAAGTCACACCAATGAAAATGCGTAGGATCTGACCCTAGAACCTGCACTCACAACCATCACCAGCTCGCACGAATCATGTTCATGTCCAACTTTCACAAGAGCCCCAAGGACAGACAAGGCAGGGGCTGCCATCCACTGGAGAGAGGGCACTGAGATTTTAAGCAGCGGGTGGCCTGCCCAGGAGAAGGGGGACCCCCACTGGTGCCGTACTCTACAGTGACGCAACTGGGCCTTGACCTTCTCAGAGGAAAGAAGCAGCATGCTGCCCACCACAGCTGGTTTCCAATTGACACAGCTCAGTAGCTCAGCACAGTCCTTTGGGGAAGAAGGGACGCGCAGGAAGCTCCGTGGCGAAGAACTACCCAGGCATGAGCAGCACCAAACCCTGGTGCTGGAGCGGGCTCAAGGGCAGCTGTCTTCTCCCCGTGCCTCTCCTCCATACATCGCTTGACTGTCCGGCCGGTTTCTTCTCATACCTCTACATCCTACCTTAAATGTCATCTGCTCAGAGAAGTCTTCTCTGATTGCTGCCTCCTCCCTCGGTTGTATGTAAGTTCTTCCTGATCCTCCACCTCGGAGATCAGCCAAAACTACGGCCCAAGGGCAAATCTGGCAGACTGCTCTTGTGTGACTCTCAAGCTAAAATACTTTTTACATTTTAATTTTAATTTTATTTTTTTTCATGGGTACTGGGAATGGAACTCAGGATTCATTGCTTGCCAGAGAGGCGCTGTGCCACTGAGCTATATCCCAGCCTGATTTT